TTCTTATTCTAGAATTTCATGGCAATTTTCCTTAATAATTTCTTCTAATATTGTAATATTTACTTATAAACTAAAACTAACCACATTCTGGGATTTCAGGCATATAGTAAATATGATAGTTGAGTCATACTAGTGTATTGAAGTTATATCTTTAAACTATTCTATACATTTTTCATAATTTTATGTAATAGCCAAAATTTTTCAAATGAAAACTCATTTAATAAAGAAAACTTAGTAAACTGATTTTTATTATCTGTTTTAAAACAAAATATACCCCTATTAAATATTTGTTTTCAAATATCTGCTTTTACTACATTCTTTTAAAAACTCAATTCATAATCTAACAGCGCCCAGATAAAAGTTCTTCTAACAGCATTTCTGATTAAATGATTTCCCAAATTTCACAAAATTTCACAATATAAGAGAATTTAGAAAAGCAATAATAACATACACAATATCATGTGTTTAAAACATGAAACAAAATTTATTACCATTCAGATGACATCAATTTAGCTGAATGCATTTCCAAATTACCTCACATAGAAAACCATTAATCATTACCTCTGGCATGTTATACTAATCACATGTAAAATCTGTTATGCAATTACATTCAATTAAAGAAATCATAACAATAGCCAACATTTACATACTACTTAACTATATGCCAGTCACTGTGTAAAGTTCTTCATGATAACTATATAATTTTGATTCTTATAACAACCCTGGGAGGTGGGTACTATTATTATTTCCCTCTTTACAGATCAGGAAACTGAGGTAAACAGAGATAAGATAACTTCCTTAAGATCACACAGCTGATAAACTTCTGAGACCACAGTGTAACTTAGGTTTCTCTGCATTTTTCCAAATTTTTTTTTTGCATTAGATAACACAATTAATAGGAAAACACATGTAAAGAGCCAAATCTAATACTTTCGTAGTTCTCCTACCCTCTCTTTCCCCTGAGGCTTTTCAGTTTCAAACTCTGGGCAAAAGACAGGGAGAGGTCCCAGCCGGCCACCCTGTATTCTCATCCCTTTATTTCGGAGCTCCCAAGGTTCTAAAGACTAGGGAGTGAACTTCCAGAACGGTCCTTCAGGGGCAGAGCACTCTAATTCCTAATCACATTCCAAACTATCTACATAACTGATCTTTGTTCTATAGAATTCCTCCTTTGCAATTTAGCACAAAATATTATACAACCCCAATTAATTACAATACTGTTACCTTTTGGGGCTCCTAAGAGCTTACAATTGTATGGTTTCTTTCCAATATCCTTTGGTGACCTTGCTTTTAATTCATCTAAATAATTAATTCTAGTATATAAAGCTCTGAAAATTCCGCTTCAGTCTTCCCAAAAGACATTCCTGGTTCCTGGTCACTCCCCTGCTCCCACCATCTATCTCCATTATCTACAACAGAGTCTGGGTCCAGGCATGTGGGTAGGGGTCAGTGGACTCCTCTTCAGTTTAAATTGCCCTTTCTATTCCCTAAATAAATTTTACTCATTTTAAAGTTGCTCCCTGATTTAAACAATCTTTTCTCTTTTCTAATCAAGAAAGGATTAACAAGAGGCGGCTGTAAAACGAAAAGGGCATGCCTGTTTTATTTTTTTTCTTCACTCTGGGATTGCTTTCAAACTAGCTGCCTCCCTTTATTACACTAAAACAATAGATCTACCACTCTTCAGGGGAAAAGTGATCTAAGTGTTATCTACCCTTGAAACTTTTACAGAATTTAATTCTTATTTTTCCTCAAAACAAGCTCTACAGAGCGATGCTCCAAAACTCACTAACACATTTCAGCGTACACTATGCTTCTGCTAAATGCCTTATCAGTAAGACAAAGAGAAGGGTGTAAATCCCTGGAATTACCCAAAATCCCAGGAGTTCTCCCCCGTAATCTTAAAATGATTAATCTCCAAACTCCTTAATGATTAATCTCAAAGTCTCCAAAAGCTATTAAGGTGCCTTTAGCAGCTCCACAAACTAGCAAAAAAAAAAATGTACTTTCTTTGGTTATACGACTTTATCTCTGTAATTCCAACATGACCAGGGTTGAAATGACAGAGGGAAAGGATCTCACAGGTTTTTTTTAACCTGATCTCCCACTAAAAGCCTAAATTGGGAGTTAGTTTTGATTACTGGGACAGAGAACTGCTTCACGTATGAGACATTTACTAACCTTCCCCAGCATTCCAAACTCTTTGGCTGCAGCTTTTCAGCAGTTTTTTAGCTGGTTGTATTTTCCCCTTAGAAATTGTACAAGGCAGCAGAATCTACAAATAGTAAACACAACATAAAACAAAGATTTTCCTATATTTTACAAAGAGACAAAAATACACAAAATTAGACAAATATAAATTTGCTAATCTTAACTTGTTCACTTTGCAATAGCGAAAAGAGACAAATTAGAGGCAAAACAAATTTACCAACTGAATCTCTCAGATTTATGCCAGATGTCATACAATTCAATTGTACACTCTGTTTCCTAAACTTCCCCACCTTGGGGGAAAAATCTAACTCTAAAGTCCCCCATGCCTGGGGGAAAACCTAATCCTACACTTAAACCTAAACCCTACTTTAGCTTGGAAGAATTTGGGATTGCAAGCAGGAGTAGGAACTTCAGGGGCAGTCTTCCACAAAATACTCTCTCAGCGAAAGATTAACTGGAATACTCTAATGAGTTTTTCTGAAAGGCTGTTGTACTGGGGGTCAGAGTCCTGACTCAACCTGGTTTGGCTTGCCAAAAACTGTGGTGAATAACAACCAAGGAAATGTTCTGAGCTGCCTGATTTATTTGCAAAACAGGCATAATAAATGGATGAACACATTCCCCCAGTCAATCCAAAGAGCCTGAATGCAGAGTGAGAAAGATTTTATGTGTTAAAAATGATTAATCAAATAACAATTAAATAAACAAATAAAATTAGTCAAAACAATTAACCAGGATACAAAATTAGGTAATCGATTTCTAATTGGAGGAAAGTTGAGAGACTTTCCAAGTTGGGGTGAGGATAAATAGGTGCAACTCCCTGAAATCAGGAAAAGAAGTGCCCCACTCCCCGCCCCCCAGGGTCTCTATTCAATCAATGGAACAAGAGAACAATAACCAACTGACCAGTATTGGGCCAGCTTTCAGATAAGACATATGGGTTGCTTGAGAGGTTTGGTTGTGAAAAAACTCCTTTGCATCAATTTTTGGATCTCACTGGGTTTCTGGTCAGCACAACCTAGGTCCTTAGCTATGGGTCACTAAACAATAGGTAGAGATTGTCCAGCTTCCCAGCCACAGGCAGGGCTAGGTTTAAACAATGTAATAGAGTTTCTCAAAATTCCCACAATTAAATAAAGTTTTCTCACAAGACAGAAATTGGAGCGGAGCCATTACTGAATAGAAAGGGAACTGAGCAAGATCCAGAGTTGAGTCATAAGAGAGATTCAATGTAGTTCACTCAATTCTCACAATGCCCATCAAATGGGCAAAAAAAATTAAATGCAAAAAAAAATGCTACTGAGGTTTTGGAGGTAGAGACATACTTATCTATTAGTTCGAGGATTATGATCTTATAACATCTTTAGAAGAGCAATTTCAAAATACACATTACATATTAAAAGTTGTACAAATAATCTTAACCATTGATCCTATAATTCCATGATTGGAAATAGGTTTTTAAAATGCCATAAAAAGCATTCTCTGTGCCAAGATTTTCCTATAAGGATTACATCTGATCAAACACATACGTACTGGAGAGAATGGCCAAGCAAAGACTTCAATCTCCAAAACATATGTAGATTTGCCCTCACTGTTGATTTATACCAAGCATATGAACTATTCGTTGTCTGTCTTCAATCTAATATGTGAAGGGTTGGTGAGCCTACTTTCAGGTCTAAGTTACAGGGGCTGCTACTGTGATGGTGGAGAGTTTTCTAATTGGCTGAGGAGGTAGAACTGAGGGTGTATACAAAAGGTTTGAGGAGATTATTACTGAAAAGGAGAGGGGTAGATTGCCCTATTTCTTACCTTACTGTCACATTACCCTGAGCACATGGTAGTACCTACTGCATTTGTGTTTATTCTTCCCTGGTCTTACATGGACATGGAACGGACTAGGCCACAAGCTTGTGAACTCTGAAAGGCAGAAACAGTCACCAGAGGTTCTCTTAGTAAGTAGAGTCAGTAGCAGCAGCAGCGTAGTTCAATGACATCCCACTTGACCCATTCCAGCAGAGGATCAACTGAGCACTAAATCCTTTTATACATGTCCTCAGGTCCACCCCTTTAGTCAATTAGAAGACTCTCCACCATCATTACCCTAAAACTCCTTACCAGAAGTAGACTCACCAAGCCGCTACATGACAGATTGAAAACAGGGAATAGTGCACATGCTCTTTGTAAGCTTTCAAGAAGGGCAAGTCTGAGTGGACCCTCTTTGACCAGCCCCACAATTACACTCATCAAAAACCCTCATTTCCAATATGGGAATCATTAAGTAAAGTTTGAAATATTAATGTGGTCAAATATTATAATACAAGTAAGACCAACAGCTATTAGATATATAAAGAAATATTGAAAGACCTTTACAAAATATGAAGTCAAAGAGTAGAATCAGAAGAATGAAGTATACATTCACTATGGCCATATAAGAGGGGAGGGGGAAAAAAGAAGAGAATGAGAGGGAGGAAAGGAGGTGGGAGGAAGAGAGGAGACACAGAGAGAGAGAGAAAGAGAATGAGAATATAAGAAGAAAAATAAATGAGAAGGAATGGACAAAAGAATTCCAAAGAGGACTTAGTGGGAATAAATGAAAAATTTGTGATACTTTTATTTGCTGAAAATAATTATTTTGAAAACAATAATAGTTTTAGCACATTGTACTAATAGTCAATTCTAATCTTTTATTTAAAAAACAAAAAAGCAGAGCATTGGGAAGTAGGAAGATAATACTCACAGGAGTTGACAGCCGTGGAATTAACACCTGTCATTTCTGGTTGGCTTTATAGGTTGTATATTTCCTGCCTTCTGAAATCGAGGAGCCCAAACAAACTGAGAGTGTGCAAAACCAGTCACGGTTCCACATTAAGAAAAATCCTACTGACCAAAATGAAGAAAATGTATTGGTCTCCTTAATTGGGAACTATACTTTCTTTAAATTAAGAGCTTCAGGAAGTTCTGTAACCCAATTGGAGCCTCCACTGTCTCCACTACCTCCACGGCCTCCACCACCTCCACCACCTCCACTTCCACCACCTCCTCCCATCACAATAGAGGAAACCCTTGAAAGTACAGATTCAGAAAGCTCAATTTCAAGGAAAGGATCCACTCAAATTTGTTTTTCCAATATTACTCCAAAGGATTCTGCACTCGTTTCTTACTTCTCTACCCCAAGCAGATCGAATATATCAATACAAAAATCACTTTCCTTACCTTCAATTACAGACAAGCCTGTGCAAATTTCTACATTTTCAGGGCTAGGTTCAGCAAGAGTATTAACAGAAGCTTACCCTTACTTCAGCTCAAGTTCCACAAGTGAATGCATAGTGAATGCTCCCCTTTCCACAGGACTACTTGGAGTGAACAGATCCACCCAATTTCCCTCTTTCTCAGGCCCAAGAGGACCAGCAGAAATCACAGAAATTCCCTCTTCCTTTTCCAGCCCAAGTTCAACAAACGAATTCATAGAGGCTCCTCTTTCCATAAGACTACTTGGAGTGAACAGATCCATCCAATTTCCCTCTTTCTCAGGCCCAAGAGGACCAACAGAAATCACAGAAATTCCCTCTTCATTTTCCAGCCCAAGGTCAACAAGTGAATCCATAGGAGCTCCCCTTTCCACAAAACTACCTGGAGTGAACAAACCCATCCTATTTACATCTTTCTCTGGCCCAACTGGACCAACAGAAATCAATCCTTACATTTCTTGCCCAAGTTCAACAAGTGAATCCATAGAAGCTCCCCTTTCCACCAGACCATTTGGAGTGAACAAATCCATCCAATTTCCCTCTTTTTCAGGTCCCAGTGCCCCCACAGAAGCCACAGAAGTTCCTTCTCCTTCCTCCAGCATAAGTTCAAGTGAATCCATGGAAGCTCCTTCTTCTTCTGGCCTACTAGCAAAAAGTAAATCCGTTCAATTCCCTTCTTTCTCAGGTGTCACTGTACCCACAGAAGTTAAAAAGCTTCCTCCTCCATCCTCCATCCCACCTCCAACCAATGAATGCATGGAAGTTACCCCACTGTCATACCTAATTGAAAAAAGCACATCTGCAAAATATCTCTCTTTTTCAGGGGTCATGGCACTAAAAAAAGTGAAAATTGCCCCTCCCTCCTCCAGTCCAAGTTCAACCAGTGAATCCATACAAGGCCAACCTTCCTCAGGTCTAAAAGCAAAGAGCAAACCCAAGCAATTTCCTTCATTTAGAGGCCAAAGTTCACGAAGAGAAATCAAAGAATCCCCCCCTTCCTCCTGCAGCCCAAGTTCAACCAGTGAAATCAGGGGAAGTCCCCCATCAAGTAAATCTTCTATCTCAGGTCTCACTGCACTGACAGAAGTCAAAGAAGTCCCTCCTCCCTCTCTGATCATTCGTTCAATCAGTGAAGCCATGGAACCTCCTTCCTCAGGTAAAGTGGCAACAAGGAAATCTATAACATTTTCTTCTATCTCAGGTGCCAGTTCAGCCACAGAGGTCACACAATGCTCCCCTTCCTCCACCATACATATTTCCGGTGAATCCATGGAAATTCCTTTCTCTGGGCTAGTTACAATGAACAAATCTGTGCAATTTCCCTCTTTCTCAGGTCCAACTGAAACAACAGAAGTCAAAGAAGTTCCCCCTTCCATTCCCAGCCCAAATTCACCAAATGAATCCATGGAAGTTCCTTCCTCAGGTCAACTGGTAACAATCAAATCTTTGGAATTTCCCTCTTCCTCAAGACCTAGTACACCAAGAGAAGAAAAAGAAGTTCCATTTTCCACATTCAGGCCAAGTTCAGTTAGTGAATCCATGGAAGCCCCTTTCTCAAGCCAAGAGGAAACAAACACATCTGTAAAATTTTCTTCTATGTCAGGTACCACTGCAACAACAGAAGTCATGAAACCTCAACCTTCCTCCCCTAGCCTATGTTCAATGAGTGAATCTATGGAAGCTCCTTTCTCAGGACAACTGGTAACAATCAAATCTCTGAAATTTCCCTCTTCCTCAAAACCCAGTACACCTCAGGAAGAAAAAGAAGTTCCATTTTCCACATTCAAGCCAAGTTCAGTTAGTGAATCCATGGAAGCTCCTTTCTCAAGCCAAGAGGCAATAAACACATCTGCAAAATTTTCTTCTATGTCAGGTACCACTGCAACAACAGAAGTCATAAAACCTCAACCTTCCTCCCTTAGCCTACCGTCAATGAGTGAATCTATGGAAACTCCTTCCTCAGGACAACTGGTAACAATCAAATCTCTGGAATCTCCCTCTTCCTCAAGACCCAGTATGCCTAGGGAAGAAAAAGAAATTCCATTTTCCTCATTCAGGCCAGATTCAATGACTGAATCCATGGAAGCTGCATTCTCAGGCCAAGTGGCAACAAATACAACTGCACAACTTCTTTCAAAGTCAGGTACCAGTGCCACAGCAGAAGCCATACAATCACAACCTTCCTTCCCCAATCTGCTTTCAGCAAGTGAATCCATGGAAGCTCCTTTCTCAGGCCAAAAGGCACCAAGCACATTTGTACAATTTCCTTCTTTTTCAAGTCCAAGTGCAACAACAGAAGTCACACAAGCTCAACCTTCCTCCTCCAGCCTACAGTCAATTGGTGAATCCATGGAAGCTCCTTCCTCAGGTCAACTGGCAACAATCAAATCTCTGCAATTTTCCTCTTCCTCAAGTCCCAGTACAACAAGGGAAGATAAAGAACTATCATTTTCCTCATTCAGGCCAAGTTCAATTGGTGAATCAATGGAAGCTCCATTCTCAGGCCAAGGAGCAACAAACACATCCGTACAATTTCCTTCTTTGTCAGGTCCAAGTGCAACAACAGAAGTCACTCAACCTCAACCTTCCTCCCCCAGCCTACAGTCAATTACTGAATCCCTAGAAGCTGCATTCTCAGGACAAGAAACAACAAGCACATCTGTACAATTTCCTTCTGTATCCGGTACCACTGAAACAACAGAAGTCACACAACCTCAACCTTCCTCCTCCAATCTACAATCAGTGAGTGAATCCATGGAGGCTACTTCCTCAGGTCAACTGGTAACAATCAAATCTCTGCAATTTCCCTCTTCCTCACAGTCTGGTACACGAAGGGAAGATAACGAAGTTCCGTTTTCCTTCTTCAGGCCAAGTTCAATTGGTGAATCCAGGGAACCTCGATTCTCAGGCCAACAGGCACCAAGCACATCAGTACAATCTCCTTCTATGTTAGGTACCAGTACAACAACAGAAGCCATACAAAAGCTCCTTTCTCAGGCCAAGGGGCAACAAACACATCTGTACAATTTCCTTCTATGTTAGGTATCAGTACAACAACAGAAGTCACACAACCTCAGCCCCCATCCCCCACCCTACTTTCCATTATGAAATCCATGGAAGCTCCTTCCTCAGGTCAATTGTTAACAATGAAACCTCTGCAATTTCCCTCTTCCTCAAGAGTCAGTTCACCAAAAGAAGATAAAGAAGTTCCATTTTCCTCATTAAGATCAAGTTCAATCAGTGAATCCATGGAAGCTCCTTCCTCAGGCCAAGGGGAAAGAAACGTATTTGTACAATTTCCTTCTATGTCACATACCAGTGGAACAGCAGTAGGCACACAACGGCAACCTTCTTCCCCTAGCCGAGGTTCAATTACTGAATCAGTGAATGATTCTTTCTCAGGCCAAACAGCATCAAGGATATCTGTACAATTTCTTTCTATGTCAGCTACCTGTACAACAACAGAAATCACACAACCTCAACCTTCCTCCCTCACCCTACTTTCAATAAGTAAATCCATGAAAGCTCCTTTCTCAGGTCAACTGGTAACAATCAAATCTCTGCAATTTCCCTCTTCCTCAAGACCCAGTTCACCAAGGGAAGATGAAGAATTTCCACTTTCCTCAGTTCAGCCTGTGGAAGCTTCTTTCTCAGTCCAAGGGCCAACAAGCACATCTCTACAATTTCCTTCTATCTCAGGTTTCATTGCAACAACAGAAGTTTCACAAACTCAAACTTCCTCCCCCAGTCTATGCTCAATTAGTGAATCCATGGAAGGTTCTTTCTCAGGTCAGCTGGTAACAATCAAATCTTTGCAATTTCCCTCTTCCTCAAGAGCCAGTACACCAAAGGAAGACAAAGAAGTTCCACTTTCCTCATTCAACCTAAGTTCAATTAGTGAATCCATGGAAGCTCCTTTGTCAGGCCAAGGGGCCACAAGCAAATCAGTACAATTTCCTTCTATCTCAGGTTCCACTGCAACAACAGAAGTCACATAATCTCAACCTTCCTCCCCCAGTCTATGTTCAATTAGTGAATCCATGGAAGGTTCTTTCTCAGGCTAACAGGTATTAAGCAAATCTGTACAATTTCTTTCTCTCTCAGGTACCAGTGCAACAACAGAAGTCACACAACCGAAACCATCCTCCCGAAGCCTACGTTCAATTAGTGAATCATTGGAAGCTCCTTCCTCAGGTCAACTGGTAACAACCCAACATCTGCAATTTTCCTCTTCCTCAAGTCCCGGTACACCAAAGGAAGATAAAGAAGTTCCACTTTCCTCCTTCAGGCCAAGTTCAACCAAAGGATCTATGGAAGACCCAATTTCCTCAGGCTCACATGCATTCAGCAAATCTGTGCAATTTCCCTCATTCTCAGGCTCAAGTGTACCAACAGAAGTCACAGAAGTTATCCCTGCCTCACTCCATCTAAATCTTTATGATTTAGAATCCACTGAAGCTCCCCTCTTATTAAGTCAATCTGCAATGAGTAAATCCACACAATTTCCCTCCTTAGAGGGACTAAATGTAACAGTAGAAGTTCCTTGCTCACCCAGGCTAAGTTCAAGGAGCGAATCCATAGAAGCTCCTCCTCCTACTGGCCTACATACAATGAACAAGTCAGCGCAAGTTCTATCTTTCTCTCGCTTAAATTTATCACTGGAATCTACCAAACATTCATCTTTATTGGATTTAATTTCACAAAGCAAAACTATGCAAGCACCAAGTTTGTTTCAGCCAAATTCACCTCTTCAAACTATGGCACTCAGTAAAGTGAGTAAATCTGAGCAAGGTACTCCTTTTATGAATCTAAACAGGTCTACTGCATACACCCAAGTTCCTTCTTTCTCTGATATAATTCCAATGAGTAATTATGTGGGATTTTCCTCGGGCCCAAGTTCACAAGAAGAATTTCCAAATGGAGCCACTTCCTCCAATCTAACTTCAAAGAAAGAAACCATAAAGGTTCTCTCTTCTGATACAAGGTCATTGAGAGAATGTCCCTCTTTCTCAGACCCAATTCATGCTAACAAACATACACAACTCTCTTCTCTTTCTGACCCAATTTCACTGAGTGTCCATACAAAAGAAGCTCCCTCTCCTTCAGTTACTGAATTATTAAAAGAAGCCATACAAGTTCCCAATTTGTTTGATAAAACTTCACCAAGAAAAGCAACATATGTTCCCTCTTCTTCCAATACTGTTTTAGTGACCAAAAACATGCCAATTTCTTCTTTCTCTGATCTAAATTCATCAACTCTTGACAAAAAAGAAGTCATGTCTTTCCAAAGTCCATTTTCATACAAAGAAGCCATGCAAGTTCCTGATTTCTCACACACAGGATCACCACAGGAAGTCATTCAAGCTCCTTCAAGCTACCATGCCATCTCAGTCAGTAAATCCACACAAGTTCCTATTTTCTCTGACCCAAGTTCATTGATAGTAAGCATACAAGAGCTTCCAACTGTCCCAATTGTAATTTCATCAAGTGAATGCATGCCAAATGCTGATTTCTCTGCCACAAATTCAAATCAGGAGGTCTTCCAAGTTCTCTCTATCAGCCATTCTGTTTCAGCAAGCAAGTCAACACAAGCTCCTGCTTCCTCTGATCCAAGATCATCAATGATCATCGGAGAAGTTATGTCATCCCGAGGTCCACTGTCAAAAGGAGAATCCATGGAAGTTTCTGATTTCTCTGACACAGGATCACCAGATGAACCCATTCAAGATTCCCTGAACTATGCTACTACAGCAAGAAAATCCACACAACCTCTTAAATACTCTCACTCCAGTTCATCCACAATACATCCAGAAGAACTTCCATCAATACCACTTATAGTTTTGTCAACAGAATCTGCAAAAGTTCCTGACATTTCTGCCACAACTTCTTCTCAGGATGCCATGGGAATTCCCTCGAGAATTCAGACTCTTTCAGTGAGTACATCCACACAAGTTCCTATTTTCTCTGAACCAAGCACGTCCACAACATGCATAGAAGTTTCATCTCTCCCAGATCTAGTTACATCAAAGGAATCCACACAAGTTCCTGACTCCTCGGCCAAAAGTTCTTCACAGGATGTCATTCAAGTTCCCTCTAGAATTCATAGTCTTTCAATAAGTAAGTCTACAACAATTCCTGGGATGTCTCCGCTATCCTCAACAACTGTTGGCACAGAAGAAGACATGTCTTTCCCAGCTCCATTTTCATACAGAGAACCCATGCAAGTTCCTAATATATATGACAAGAGATCGCCACAAGAACCCATGCAAACTCCCTCTGCCAACCTAGCTATGGAAGTGAGCAAATCCTCAGAAGTTCCTACTGTCTCTGATGCAAGTACATCCACAAGGCCTACAGAAGAAATTCCATCATTCCCAGTTCCAGTTTCATCAAAAGAATCCATACAACTTCCTGACTCCTCGGCCAAAAGTTCTTCTCAGGATGTCATTCAAGTTCCCTCTACAATTCACACTATTTCCGTGAGTAAATCCACAACAATTATTGGGGTGTCTCAGCGAACTTCATCAACTGTTGCCAAGGAAGAAGTCATGTCTTTCCCGGCTCCATTTTCATATAGAGAACCCATGCAAGTGCCTGATTTATATGACAAGAGATTGCCAGAGGAACCCATGCAAACTCCCTCTGCCAACCTTGCTATGGCAGTGAGCAAATCCTCACAAATCCTTACTGTCTCTGACCCAAGTACATCCACAAGGCCCACAGAAGAAATTCCACCATTCTCAGATCTAGTTTCATCAAAAGAATCCATACAACTTCCTGACTGCTCTGCTATAAGTTTCTCTCAAGATGTTGTTCAAATTCCCTCTAGAATTCATAGTCTTTCAAGAAGTAAATCTACAACAGTTCCTGGGATGTCTCTGCTATCTTCACCAACTGCTGGCACAGAAGAAGACATGTCTTCCCTAGCTCCATATTCATACATAGAACCCATGCAAGTTCCTGATATATATAACAAGAGATCGCCACAAGAACCTATGCAAACTCCCTCTGCCAACCTTGCAATGGCAGTGAGCAAATCCTCACAAATCCTTACTGTCTCTGACCCAAGAACATTCACAAGGCCCACAGAACAAATTCCACCATTCTCAGATCTAGTTTCATCAAAAGAATCCATACAACTTCCTGACTCCTCTGCCAAAAGTTCTTCACAGGATGTCATTCAAGTTCCCTCTACAATTCACACTCTTTCCGTGAGTAAATCCACAACAATTATTGGGGTGCCTCAGCGAACTTCATCAACTGTTGCCAAGGAAGAAGTCATGTCTTTCCCAGCTCCATTTTCATATAGAGAAACCATGCAAGTGCCTGATTTATATGACAAGAGATTGCCAGAGGAACCCATGCAAACTCCCTCTGCCAACCTTGCTATGGCAGTGAGCAAATCCTCACAAGTTCCTACTGTCTCTGACCCAAGTACATTCACAAGGCTCACAGAAGAAATTCCATCATTCCCAGTTCTAGTTCCATCCAGAGGATCCATGAAAGTACTTGATTTCTCTGACAAAAGTTTACCTCAGCAAGCCATGAAAGTTCCCTCCACCATTCACACTATTTCACTGAGCAAATCTACACAAGTCACTGCTTTTTCTCACCCAAGTTCATCAACCGTTTACCTAGAAGTCTCTCTTTCTCAGGTCCATTTTCATTTAGAGAATCCATGCAATTTCCTGATTTATCTGATATAAGTTTACCAAGAGGAATCATACAAATTCCATCTACCCATTATGCTCTTCCTATGAACAAATCTACTCAGGTTCCTTCTTTCTTGGATACAGATTTATCAACCATAAGTACAAAAGATATTTCATCTTTCCAGTTCCAACATCATCAAGAGCTTCTATGCAAGTTTCTGACATAAGTGTTCTAAGACAAGCCGTACAAATTCCCTCTACCTACTCTGCTATTGCTATTTGCAAATCCACACAAATTCCCACCTTCTCTTCCCAAAGTTCATCCATAACATTCATAGAAGATGCTCCATCAGTTTCACCAAGAGAATCCCTACAACTTCCTGATTTTGCTGACACAAGTTCACCAACAGAAGATGAACAAGTTCCCTGTGCCTCTGGTACCATTTCTATAAGAACATCCACACAAGTCCCTTCTTTCTTTAGCACAAGTTCATCAAGCATAAACATAGGAGATGTTCCATCATTCGTAGTTCCAGGTTCATCAAAGGAGTCCAAACAAGCTCCTGACTCCTCTGACATAATTTTTAAAAAACTTAAACAAGTTCCCTTGGCCTCTAATACTATTTCAATGAGCAAATCTCCACAAGTTTCTTCTTCCTTGGTACTATATACATCAAACAAATCTATCCAATTTCCCTCTTTCTCAGGTCTCATTTCTTTGAGCCAGTCTGTGCAAGTTCCTTCTACCTCTAGCACAAGTTCAGCAAGTGAGTCTATGAGAGTAACCTCTCTGTCAGAGCCATATTTGGCAGAATTGTCCAAGGAATTTCCCGCTTTATGTAGGGAAATTTCATGGAGCAAACATGGGCAAATTCCTTCTTTCTCTGGCACAGTTACATCAAGGGAACACACAGGAGGTTTCTCTATTTCAGACCAACATTCAATACAAGAATCAGTGGAAATTCACTCGTCTCAGGCTCAACTTTGACAAAAGAATCTATGGATATTTCCTTATTAACACTGCACACAGAGAGAGACTCCATTCAAGATCATTCTGTCTCTTATTCAAGGTCAGTAGGAGAAAAAGATCCTGTTATCTACAGTCAAAGTTCAGCAAGAGAAGCTATGGAAGTTTATACTTTCTCTGCCCCTACTGCCCCAAGTAATTCTTTGCAAGTTCCTTCTTTTTCTGGCACAAATTTTCAAATTCTTTGTTCTATGGCCAAAATTTAGAGAGCAAGTCCTTCTCAAGGGCCTGTACTTCAACAGAATCTGTGGAAAATCCAGCATTCTCTGTGATAACTTCAGAGGGAGAATCAATACAGGTTCCATCCTTCTCTATTCCAAATTTAGTAAGAGAATCTTTCGAATTTCCCATTTTCTCTGGGTCAAGTTCAACAAGAGAATCTGTAGTTCACCTTTCTTCTGAGTTAAGCTCAACAGGCAACATAGTAAAAGAGAGTGCACATTTGGCTACTTCAAATGCACCTCATAAATCCATAAATGATTTCAATCCCTCCATACCGACAGTATTGAGCAAATCCATACAATTTCCTTCTTTCACAGTTACAAGTTTGGTAAAAGAATCAACTGAAGCCCCTACTTTATCTACCAAACTCAAGGCAAGAATTTATACAAGGTTCAGCTCTCTCTAGTCCAGATTCATTTAAAGAATTCTTTGAATTTCCCATGTTCTCTGGACCAAATTCAACAAGGGACTCTACAGAAGTTTCCCTTTCCTCTAGCATAAGTTCAGAGAACTCAATTTCACCAAGACAATCCAAACAAACTTCTGTTACTCCTATCTTAAAGTCAATGAGTAAAGCTATTCAATATCCTTCTTTGTCAGGTACAAGGGTTATGTTTGTAGCAAGTTCACATAGAGAATCAATAAAAGCTCCAGATTTCTCCAAATCAAAATCATTACAAGAATCATCTGATTTGTCCTTTATTTCTGGGCCAAGGTCAACAAGAGAATCCTCAGAAGTTCCCTTTCTTTCTATTTCAACTTCTTTAAAAGAGACTACGAAAGGTCTTATGTCATCTGGCTTACATTCTACAGACCAACATGTAGAGAATGAGAGTGTCCAGTCTTCAATCCAAAGTTCACAAACAGAATGCAAACAAGTTTCTCTTCATTCTAGAAAAATGTCACTGCGCAAAACTATGCAATATCCTTCTTTTTCAGGCATAAGGGTTTATTTTGTGGCAAGCTCACCTAGAGGGTCCATACAAGGTCCAGATGTCTCTGAATCAAAAGCACTGCAAGAATCCTTGGACTTTTCTGTTATTTCTGGGCCAAGTTCAACAAGAGAATACTTAGAATTGCCTCTTCTTTCCCCTTCAACTTCTTCACCAGGAGCTGAAGAAAGTTCTCCATCATCTAGCTTGAGGTCTCCAGAACAAATCACATGGGAAAAGAGTATCCAGAATGGCACCCAAAATTCACCAGGACAATCCAAACAAGCTTCTCCTCCTAACAGCCATAGTTCACTAAACAAAGCTATACAATTTCCTTCTTTTTCAAGCCAAAAAGTTTTGTCTCTGGAAAGCTACCAGAGAGGGTCTATACAGGGTCCATATTTCTCTGTATCAAAATCCTTTTCTATTACCTCTGGGAAATGTTCAACAAGGGAATCCTTTGAATTTCCTCTTCTTTCTTCAAAAAGTACTACTGCAGGTCTTCCATTATCTGGATTAAAGTCACCAGTAGAAATTAGAGAGACTGAAAGTATCCAGTCCTCCCCTACAAGTTCAACAATGGAATCCAATCAAGTTTCCCCTCCTCCTAGTTTTCTGAAACTGAGTAAAGCTATACAATTTCCTCCTTTCTCAAGCCAAACGATATTGTCTATGGCAAACTCACAGAAAGAATCCATACATGGTCCAGATTTTTCTGAATCAATTTCACTGCAAGAGTTCTTGGACTTATCTATTATTTCTAGTCCTATATCAACAAAAAAATCCTTAGAAGTTCCACTGCCTTCTATTTCAGTTTTTTCAAAAGACACCACGGAAGTCCCTCCATCAACTGACTTCAGGTCTCCAGCAGAATTGGCAGAGAATGAGAGTGTCCTTTCTGCCATACGAAGTTCACCAGTAGAATCCAAACAAGCTTACACTCCTGACAGCCTTATTTCACTAAATAAAGCTGTACAATTTCCTTCTTTTTCAAGCTCAAGTGTTTCATCTGTGACAAACTCATGGAGAGAGTCAATAAAAGGTCTGGATTTCTCTGAATCAAATTTATTACAAGAATCCTTGGAATATTCTGTTATCTCTCAGCCAAGATCAACCAGAGACTCCTTAGAAGTTTCTCTTCTTTCCCCTTCAACTTTTTTAACAGGAGAAGATCTTCCATCACCTGCCTTATGGTCTCCAGTAGAACTGGCAGGGAAGGAGAATGGCCAGTCTATCACTCCCAGTTCACCTAAAGAGTCTGAAAAGAGTTTGCTTCCTTCGGCTCTTTTATCACCAAATACATGCTTGCAATTTCCTTCTTTTTCACCTCCAAGGGTTTTGTTAGTGACAAGTTCACACAGAGAGTCCGTACAAGGTCTGGATTTCTCTGAACCAAACTCATTGCAAGGATCTTTTGGCTTTTCTGACACCTCTGGGCAAAGATCAACAACTGAATTCTTAGAAGATCCTCTTCTTTCCACTTCAATTTCTTCAAAGGGAGCTGCTGAGAGTCATCTCCCATCTGGCTTAAAGTCTCCAATAGAATTGGCAGGAGACAAGAGTGCTCAGTCTGTCATTCCAAGTTCATCAAGGGAATCCAAAAAGGCTTCCCTTCCTGCTAGCCTAATATCACTGAGTAAAGGTATACAATTTCTTTCTTTCTCTGGCTCAAATCTTTTGTCTGTGGCAAGTTCAAGGAGACAGTCAATTCAAGGTCAAGATTTCTCTGTCCCAAATTCACTGCAAGAATCCCTTGACTTTTTCATTATCTCTGGGCCAAGTTCCACAAGAGAATCCTTAGAAGTTCCTCTTCTTTCCACATTAACTTCTTCCAAAGGAACAAAAGAACGTCAGCAATCACCTGGCTTACAGTCTCCAGTAGAATTTGCAAAAGATGATGGTACTTGGTCAACCAGTCCCAGTTCACCAAAAGGATCAGCACGACCTTCCCCTGCTGCCAGTCCTAGATCATTAAGTAAGACTTTTACATATCCTTATTGCTCTGGACCAAGCATATCCCAACATTTCATGGAAGTTCCTGATTTTTCTGTGCCAACTTCACATAAAGAATCAACACAGGCTCCTGCTTTATCTAGCCCAAATTCAATAAGAGAATTCTTTGAATTTCCTACTATCTCTAAGTCAAGTTCAGCAAGAGAATCCTTTGAAGTTCCTTCTTTCTACACCTCCAGTTCTTCAGGAATATCTATACATGTTTCTACTTCTTCTGGCCTAAAATCCCCCACAGAATATGCAGAGGGTGAGAGAACTCACTCTCCCCGCTCAGGTTCACCAAAAGAATCCAGACAACCTTCTCGCCTTCCCAGTCCAACAGGGAGTAGATCTATGCAATTTCCTTCCTTCTCAGGCCCAAGTATATCAAAACAATCAATGGAAGCTCATGTTTCCTCGATGTTAAGATCACAGAAAGAATCCATACAAGACACAACTTCATCAGCCCCAAATTCACTGAGAGACACCTTTGAATTTCCCATTCTTTCAGGCCCAGGTTCAACAAGAGAAGCTTTAGAAGTTCATTCCCACAATTCTATATCAAATTCAACAAAAGAATCTTTACCAGTTATTCCAATTTCTGACTTGACATCAGTAAAAGAACCTGAAGAGGACAAAATTTCTGCTGCAGTCAGCCAGCATTCAGTGAGTGATGTCATGGAAGCTCTAGCACTCATGGGCCTAAGTTTCAGGACAGAATTCATGCAAGTTCATCCTCCCTTGATTCTCAGTCATCCACAAGAATTCCCTGAAGGTCTCCATGTCCCCAGTAGAGGTTCCCAGAGACAATTCATTCAAGTCCCTACTTCTCCTACCCAAAGTTCACAGAAAGAGTACACGAATCTCTCTCCATCCAGCATCTCCCAGAGAGAATCAATTCATAATTTTGCTTCTTCAAGTTCTCTGAGAAAGTCCACTAGTATCAGCTCCCAGAGGGAATTTGATCACATTTCTGATTTGTCCAGCTCAAGTTCACAGACAGAGTCCATGGATCTCCCTCCCTTCAGCATCAGCTCCCAGAGAGAACTGAATCAAGCCCTTATTTCTAACATCCCAGCTTTGCTGAGGGATTCTCTAGATCTCCATCCACCCAATACCAGTTCCCAGAGAGAATCAATTGAATGTCCTGATTATTCAATTCAGAGTTCACAGAGAGAATTCATGGGTCTCCTTCCCTCTAACAGCAGCTCCCAGGGAGAATCCATCCAAGTTCCTGTTTCTTCCAGCCAAAGTTCACAAAGAGAACCACTAGATGTTGCACTGTCCAGCATCAGCTCACAAAGAGAACTAATTCACGTTCTTCCTTATAAAACACCAAGTCCACCAAGACAGTCTTTGAGTCTCCCTCCCTCCAGCATCAGCTCTCAGAGAGAATTCATTCAAATGCCTGTCTCTTACAGCAAGAGTTCACAAAGAGACTCTACGGGTCTCCCTCCCACCATCATGAGCACCCACAGAGAACTGATTCAAGCTCCTGTCTTTGGCAGTCCAAGTTCACAGAGAGAATATATGACTCTTCCATTCTCCAGAATCTGCTTCCAGAGAGAATCAATTCAAGTTCCAGAATCTAACAGTTTAAGTTCACAGACAGAGTCTGTGGGTCTCCCTCCCTCCACCATCAGCTTCCAGACAGAATCCACTCAAGTTCTTGCTTCTTACAGTGAAAGTTCACAGACAGTCTCCAGGGATCATCCTCCCTCCACCATCAGCTCACCGAGTGAATTCATTCAAGTTACTAATTTTTTTAGCCCAGCTTCAAACAGAGAGGCTATGGGTTTCCCTCTCTCCAGTAGCAGTTCCCAGAAAGAATCTATTCAAATCTCTGCTTCTTGTGGCCCAAGTTCACAGGAAGAGTTAATACAAGTTCTCCCATCCTCCAGTCCAATCTCCCAGATAGACTCCATGGAAGTTTTTACCTCATTTGGTCTCGGTCCATCAGAGGATTTCATGCAAAGTCCCCTTTCCTCTGCTCGAAGTTCACTAAAAGATTTCATAGATGTTATTCCTTTATCTGGTCCAGATTCATCAGAAGAATTTGTGGGCACTCCTCTTTCCCTTGGCCAAAGTTACCCGCAAAATTTCATTGACGATGTTCCTTTGTCAGGTCCAGTTTCATCAGAAGAATTCACAGGTACTCCTGCTTCCTCTTCCCCAAGTACAACAAAAGAATTCACAGAAATTCTCCATTTCTCAAAGGTTTTGCCAAATGAATCCACACACAATTCTCTTTCCTCTGAGTCTAGTTCAATGGGTGAATTAACACAAGTTCCTGCTTCCTCTAGAGAACGTTCACTGAAAGAATACTTTGAAATTCTCCCTTTCCCAGGATCAACTCCATCAAGAAAATCTATCCAAACCCATGCTCCAACTTCAAGTTTATCAAACGATTATGTAGATGAATTCTTTGACATTCAAGTCCCCTCTTGCTCTTCATATCATCAGAGAGAACCTATGCAAGTGCCCTTTTCCCCTTGTCCAAGTTCAGTGGACAAATTTCTTCAACCATCTTCAGACCCCAAAAAAGAAAAACCTGTCAAACTTACAAAGCCTTCCAAAGAAGAAAAAGAACCCATGCAGATCCCATAATGTTAATGGAAAGAAACTCAGTTAAACACTAATGTTTCCAAGTCCCCTCCATCCACTCACACCAATGTATTCAAGTCCACTAAGCCATATATGGTACTATACTAGGACTCTTAAGACTTGAATTGAAAGCAAAACAATCAACAGCTTTGGTCCTCAATGAATTCAAATAAAACTAAGTAAAATTTATCAAATTCTAATTGAGACTTTTATTTAGTAAAGACATCTCCATATTGATTTTATGATACTTAGCAGATGCTTTTTTTAAATACGGGATACTCAATTCTTGCTGCAGCTAAGAGGTGCAGCAGGTAAGAATGTTGGGCCTGGAGTCAGGAAGACTTATTTTCTTGAGTTCAAATCTGGCCTCAAACACTTAATGTGTGACCCTGCCCAAGTCACTTAACCCCATTTGCCTCAGTTTCCTCATCCACAAAATGAGCTGGAGAAGGAAATAGCAAACCACTCCAAGTATCTCAGCCAAGAAAACCCCAAATGGAGTCACAAAGAGTCAGACAAGACTGAACAACAATCCTTGCAGTTGAATACTAAATGAACCAATGTTCCCCTAACAATGACTCATTTTTTGTCCATTCTTTCTCCAGTATCCAATAAGCCAGACAGAAAACCCAAGCACTTATTACTTTCTATAAGCCATAAAAGGGCTCAAGAATGGGTGGATGGATACAGATAGGCCAATACATATATACAGATCCATAATAATGACTTCCACATCCTAAACATGAAATTCTTATAATTTTTATTCATTTTTAGTTTTCAACATTCACTTCCACAAGATTTTGAATTCCAAATTTTCTCCCCATCTCATCCCTCTCCCCACTCCAAGACGGCATGCATTCTGAATACCCCTTCCCCTATCTGCCCTCCCTTCCATCCCCCCCCCCTTTCTCTTATCCCCTTCCCCTTCAATTTTCCTGTAGGGCAGGATAGATTTCTATACCCCACTGCCTGTATATCTTATTTCCCAGTCGCAGGTGAAAACAATTTTTTTAACATTTGTTTTTAAAACTTCGCGTTCCAAATTTTCTCCCCTCCTCCCTCCCCACTCATCCTCATTAAGAAGGCAAGCAACTCGACACAGGTTACATATGTGTAGTCAAGCAAAATACTTCCATAGTAGTCATGTTGTGAAAAACTAAGTATATTTCCCTTAATCCTATACCACCCTCCATCTATTCTATTCTCTCTTTTGACCCCGTCCTACCTTAGAAGTGTTTGCTTCTGATTACTCCCTCCCCCAATCTGCCCTCCCCTCTATCATCTCCCTGCTCCCTTGTCCCCTCCCCCACCATTTCCCTGCAGGGTAAAATAGGTTTCCATACCCAATTGAGTGTGTATGTTATTTCCTCTAAGGATGAAATTCTTAAGAGTAACTGAAAGGAGACTTCTAGGAAGATGAAAGGCTGTATCGGAGCATAACTTCCACTCACCCCATCCAACAATTTCAAAACAATAAGAAATACTACAGAGAAGAAGAATATTAAGAAAAAGAATATGAAGAAGAAGAAGACAATGAAAGCACAATGTAAAGCATTAAGAAATAACAGCAGAAAGTAAACTTATGGATCCATTTTCCCTTGCTGAATCCAGCTCACCCCATTCCCAGGAGAGCCGTCTCACCTGGTCTATATTCCAGGCTGTAGTTGGGGTTACTGTTGTCTCATATCATTAAAAGCTTTATCTTGGCAATGAACCTCCCTGACATCAAAATAAAATCACTTCATAAATGGCAAAGAACATTAAATTGACCGAGGTCTGATTACAAGTAAGAGGGTACAACTATGAAAGGGGAAGAGACCTAGCAATACAAAGAAGGTTAGAAAGGAAGGGACTTTTATAACAAAGGTAAAAGGGTTTGGGGTAAATTATAAATGCAGCTGTAGTCATATATCCATGGAGTGTCTGTCTATCATTCATATATACAGAGCTCCTCCACACCACATCTTGCCAGTGCAAGGAGGTCACTGAACCTGTGCAGGGGCAAATGTGAGCACAGATGAAGAAAGCAAACAACTAAAGCCAAGCCATCTGGCACAGTCAGTCAAGAAGGCTTTGTTAAGGGCTTACTATGCATCAAGAATTATTCTAAATGAGGGACAAATGAGAAGGAGTACAAAACAAAAAGGCTGAAAGAGAAAATCTGAGTATGACCCCAGTCCCTAATGAGGTAGGGTAGCAGTGAAAATCATAAAGGAAGAAATGTGAGCAAATAAGTAAGAAAAGATAGAATAACAATAGAATAACCAGAATAACTATTACCCAGTAAAAGTGCAACAAACAACAAACAGCAATAAATTCTACAGTTCAACAATTCTATAACAATGAAACACCAAGAAATTCTGGAATGGTTCAAAAATTGAATAAAAATTTTGAAATAAGAATTAGAAGAAGAAAATAGAATAAAAATTAGAGCAAGAATTTGAGCTGTCAAAAAAAAAAACCCATTAAGACCAAAAAAGCAATGATAATTTAGGACATGTGACTGAGAATATTCCCAAAACTTATGCAGCTCTAAAAAGAGAATGTAGGATTTTGAAATAAAACACACAGAAAATGGAAAACAACAGAATAAAAAGTCAGCAGTATTGAAAGAACATGTGCTCTCCCTATAAGCCAAAGCAACTGATATTAAAGATAGGATATACATAGAAAATTTAAGGCATATAGAGCTCCCAGAAGAATACAATGCAACAAAAAGGCTGAATATGTTAATGAAAGAAATAATACATGAGAATGAACAAGAAACATTAATCTACCCCACATTTCATATACCCTGAATCCACATCCCTAAAGCTATCAGTTGAGTCTCTACCCATGTGCCCACTTTTGATAGTCAGCCAGAGGACCCAATGAGTTCAAAGGATGAAATGGCAAAGGAAGAAAAATAGCAATAAAATATAAATCTGGAGCATGCATTCCTACAAATGCACATAACATCCAGTGGGAAGAGTTCATATACATAGGAAATACAAGTGGGGGGGGTGGTTAAGAGTCAACATGGTTGAGTGAAAGGTGCATTTTTGCCAAGCTCTGCCAACATTTCCCTCTTAAACAAATTTTTGAAAAGTAAACCAAATTTAATTCTAAAATGCACAACCAACAAAAAGTCAAACTGAGTCATTTTTTCAGCCCAGGATAGCTTACAAAGACTGAAAGAGAGATCTGTGTAAATGGGGTTGAGGCTGGCCAGGAACAGTGCACCACAGAAGCAATAGCAGCTCAGCAGCAGCAGCTGTAGCAGCACCGGAAGAGCTCATACTCAGAGATGGTAAGAGGTTCGAACACCTGGTCAGAAACATATTGCCCTGTGCCCTGGGCACAGAATCAGGCACCATTACCCAGTTCCAGATTGTGGTTGTGAAGGAGCAAGGGCCCTACCTGGATAAGGACCACAGAGTAGATCAGAAGAGCAGAGGTCACAACTTTCCCCAGATCATACCACTCTAGAAGCACCAAAAAGCACGTATAGGCCCCCAAAACTAGCTGTGAAAACAGTAGGATGTAAAAGCCTAAAGCCCAGAACAGTCACCACTCCTACTCCACGCCCAAGAATGCAGAGCCCAATTCTAACATAAAGTCTAAAGTCAAGAAATAGACTAGAAAATATAAAAAGTTCCTATGATGACAGGAATACTCAAGACACAAACTCAGAAGAACACAATGAGTTGGAAACATCTACAAGCAAAGTGTCAGAGAGAAATATGGATTGGATATAAGCCCAACAAAAGTGGTAAAGAGGTTTAAAAAAAAAGCAAAAATATTTAAATCAAATCAGAGCAGCAAAGAAAAAAATGGTAAAAGAAATTAGAGCAATGCAAGAAAATTATGAAAAGAAATTAAAAGCTGGGTAAAAGAGGCGCAAAAAAAAAATACTGGAGAAAATAACACATTAAAAATAAGAATTGGGAGGCAAAGCCAAGATGGCAGTGTAAAAGCAGTGACTTGCTTGAGTTCTCCCCCAAAACCCTCCAAATACCTGTAAAAAATGGCTCTAAACAAATTCTAAATCAGCAGAACCCACAAAAAGACAGTGTGAAACAAATTTCCAACCTAAGACAACCTGGATGGTTGACCAGAAAGATATATCGCACTGTGCTAGGAGAGGAACACAGTTCAGCATGGGCACATGGGCAAAACAGGCCTCAGAGGACTGAATCACAGGCAGCTGTGGCAGTTTCCAGACTTCTCAACTCACAAATGCCAAAGAGAACTTAGAAGGTCAGTAAAAATCATCTGTGACTGTGATGAGAGAGAAGCTCGGTCCCAAGTCACGGTGCAGCCCTGGGGCAGCAGCCTCTTCCAGAGCTCTTGGCCCACAGCCTGAGAGGGAATAGAGTTGTTGAGCAGCGGGGGATTGCAGGGATCTCTTTACTGGTGCTGAGGCAGGATTCTCTTGCTTTTCCTATGCTTGGATCTGGGTCACAGTTCTAGGTGGCAGTCCTGGGGCAAGAATGAGCACTGGCGTGGTGGAGCTTGTAGGAGCAGTGAAGAGAGAATTCTCCTCATAGTTTCAAGGCAGAAAAGAGTGCTTGTGGTCACTCACAGACCACAGCCCATGCCAGGAAAGGAGTAAACACCTTGCCTTGATCATACCACCTTGGAAGAACCAAACATTTACATGTCCCTAGAAGTATCTCTGAAAACAGCTGCACAAAACTCCCGAAGCTTGGGACAGTACATCCTTCACACTGGAAGCAGACCCCCTACCTTAACAAAGAGTTTATAACTCAAGTAATTGACTGGGATCATGAGCAAACTGCACAAAAAAAGTCAGACCACAGAATCTTTCTTTGGTGACAAAGAAGATCAAAACATACAACCAGAAGAAGACAACAAAGTCAAACCTCCTACATTCAAAGCCTCCAAGAAAAATATGAATCAGGGGGCAGCTAGGTGGCACAGGATAGAGCAATGGCCCTTGAGTCAGGAGGACCTGAGTTGTTTAAATCTGGTCTCAGACACTTGACACTTAATAGCTGTGTGACTCTAGGCAAGGCATTTAACCCCATTGTCTAGACAAAAACAAAACCAAAAAGACAAATACGAATCGGTCCCAGACCATGGAAAAGCTCAAAATAGGTTTTTGAGAAGGAAGTAAGAGAAGTAGAGGAAAAACTGGGAGGAGAAAGGAAAGCGATGCAAGAAAATTATGAAAAACAAGTCAAC